AAAAAAAAAAAAAAAAATATTTTCATGAGTGCGTAATTCTGTTTCATTATTTTGTAAATTGATGCTATTAAGTTTATCTTTTGAGACTAAACAAAAATGACATGGGTGATTTGAATTATATGCTTTATACGTGAGACAAAACATTGAAGCTTCAGGCCAATCTGAAATTACAACTGAAATTCGAGGAAAGAACCAAAATGTTTCATCATGTATTGTTAAATCAACACCATTATTATTTAATGTTAAGATAGGATCTAGAAGCACTTTTAAGGAGTTATGAAAAGCTTCTCGTACTGCTCTCTTAAATTTATCAGATTTTTTATCAGAATTATCGCTTGCTGATAAAATTGGTAAATATCCTAACAATTGTTTTGCATCAGGTTTGTTACGCCGCCAGTTTTTAATGTTACCAATAGTTACATATATAGGATGTAGTTGACTTTTACCCAATGTGTCTACGTTAGTTGCATCAGAATATAATATCAAGGATAAAAGTTTTGCGCCAGTTGGTAAACATTCTTCAGTATTTTTCCACCACATTCCGGTATTTTGTTCACTATATATTCTTTCTCCATCAATCTTTAAGATTAATTGATATTAATATGATGATATATAAATATAAAATTGCATAAATTTAAATAATTACCTCAAGATTTTCGAAATTTAACGCAAAGTTTTCCATTATATTAGAAATAGTTAGAATATTTTTTATGCAATTTATAAGATTGCAATGGTGAAGATAATATTCAATATTATTATAAGTTATTACGCAAGTTTTTTGATAAACTAAATTTGGTTGATTCATATTATCCATATATTGTCGTCCTTGTTCGGTTGATTTAGGTAATGGAGATTTAGTAAGATTTGCATGCTTATTAAAAAAATGGATTATTTCATTTCCTGCTTTATTATTTAATTTATTTTTAATTACTAATGTCATAAAATCTTCGTATACTTCATTAGGGTAATTTACATTTACTTCAGATTCAACTTCTTCTAAAATA